GTAGGTATATGACTCTAATGCTTGTAGGTAAGATAGTAATGTAATACGTCCAATAGGTGTACAAGTGAAAATTAATACGTCTTTATCATTGTAGCAAGAGAAAGTATTTGATCTGCACCTGGGAAAGATGTTTTTCTCAGTCTCATTTATTACTTAAAAAAATTTCATGAAAAAAATTATGTGGATTAGTATTACAAATCTGTTGTATATAAAATATTAAGAAAGAGCATACACGGATGATATAAAGAGTGCTTGTATAAAAAGTGCCATAATCTATACATGAACTTCTCTTAATACAATAATTAAGGTGTATGAACATTTGCTTATAAGCTCATTGAACATATTAAATTTATAACTCATCTACAAGAATAAAAGTGGTTTACCTACTATATCAAGCTAGGGTGAAACGCAGCTAAAAAATTAAGAATCAGAATTTATCCAAAACCTATAGTGCCAGTGAATATACGGCTCTACGGTAGCTTAAGTGGTAGAGGAACGTTCTAGTAAACAGTAGGTTGTGTGTATGATTAGCACCCAGGAAAAATATTTTTCTCATTCCTGTATATTTTAAAAAAAAATTAAAAAAAAAAAAATTGATTAATAACTGATTTATGGTAAATAAACGAATATACAACTCAACTTACCCTCTTATTCATCTCTATATTGACCTCTCTATTTTTTATTTACTCTTTAAATAATCTTGTCTTTGTCTTTACATCATTTCTATAGGTATAGATTTTGCAATTTTCTTTTGATATTTAACGTTGTTTATGATTAATGTTTTCTCTATTGATGAGCTCAAAGAAAAATTTAATCCAATAGAGAATATCGTGAAAAAAGAATAATGGAAAGAAAGAGTAAGGACAGATCCAGGTGTGATAAAATGTTTGTTATTTCTAAAAAAAAATTAGCTTTAATTTGTAAAAATGTTAAAATGTAACTAATACTTAAATTTTTAAAAGTAGCATCTCTTTAAACTGTTTTGTCAATTTCAAATGTTTACTTTATTCGCGTAATTTTAACCATTTTTGTGCAACAACTGTATTACTTGCTGGAACTTTGAATTATAAGCATGTATAGCAAGCTACAAAATATTACTTCGGAAGCTTGTGGAGCTACGTAAATTACGAGAACACTAGTTGGAAGCGTTTTAATTACAATTATTGGAGTGGTTGGAATCTAGCAGTTTGATCATCAATTTCAGCTATATAGTCTGACCTAATTGGTATATTGTTTGGTTTGGGTACTAATTTATTTNTTACCTCTCTATTTTTTATTTACTCTTTAAATAATCTTGTCTTTGTCTTTACATCATTTCTATAGGTATAGATTTTGCAATTTTCTTTTGATATTTAACGTTGTTTATGATTAATGTTTTCTCTATTGATGAGCTCAAAGAAAAATTTAATCCAATAGAGAATATCGTAAAAAAAGAATAATGGAAAGAAAGAGTAAGGACAGATCCAGGTGTGATGAAATGTTTGTTATTACTAAAAAAAAATTAGCTTTAATTTGCAAAAATGTTAAAATGTAACTAATACTTAAATTTATAAAAGTAGCAACTCTTTAAACTGTTTTGTCAATTTCAAATGTTTACTTTTTTCGAGTAATTGTAACAATTTTGGCGCAACAACTGTATTACTTGCTGGAACTTTGAATTATAAGCATGTATAGCAAGCTACAAAATATTACTTCGGAAGCTTGTGGAGCTACGTAAATTACGAGAACACTAGTTGGAAGCGTTTTAATTACAATTATTGGAGTGGTTGGAATCTAGCAGTTTGATCATCAATTTCAGCTATATAGTCTGACCTAATTGGTATATTATTTGGTTTGGGTACTAATTTATTTTTGTTTCCAACTCTCATTGTTAGTTGAATAAAAGGTATAACTTCAACTATGGTATTATTCGCATAGTTGGCTACCATTAAACCAGCGACTGAGGACTCTACAGCATTATTTTCATAATATACTTTTGTTTGCATCATCGGTGACACTTGTGGGAATGGGTCCATGCCAGGAAATAAATCAATATTTTATTCAACGTTTCAGCAGATCAATGATCAGCTTCACCTTACAGAGAGTATACTATTGCCTGGCCATTTGAAGTAGTACTCACAACCAAGCTAGCTCATCTAGGACACTAAGACACGTTTAAGTTTCCATGATTTGATTGAGCCAATTAGCCAACAATATTACCACCCTAAAACAAAATTTGTAATAAAAAATAAGCATTACACAATAAAAAACAGAGTTGCGAGAAAAATTTAACTGCTACGTACTGGAATATCGATATTAGGATTCCAAGAGAGAATTCTATTGTCTTTTGCATAACTGAGAAGATCAGAATAATAAAGATTCCAGGCAATTGATATTACTTTCCTTCGATGGTTTTGGAATGTTTTTACGGTGTGGTTGCAAATCTCAAATTCCACAGTTCAATAATTTGAGTTTAATCCTCTTCTGAAGCAAGAGACAGCTGTGTGACTATATATCCGGATGTCAGTGTACTGATTTCCAACTCACTTAAATTTCAAAAATGATGAAGAATTATTATGGTAAAATTCCTGATGATAATGCTTATAGAGGCTCTTGAATTGGCAGCAGTGAGTATTACCATGGCTTAATTCTTCTTTAAATGACACAACGCTGTGAAAATGTTAATGAAAGAATGTGTTGCACTGTAAACAACAAAATGCTCTAATGTCAATTATGAATCTGTAAAAAGAATGTTGCCAAGTAACGTACCTCATGTATTCCATGATTTATCTAGTACATCCTCAGGTGGTAAATTTTTTTGGAACCAGGAGACATAGGCTCATTTGTCCAATTAATATACAAAGTATAAATGTCACTATCTGTCGCACCAGTAGCTAGAAAATGAGACTGAAATGGATTAAAGTCCAGTGCTCTCACAGGACCTTTGTGTTTGTCGGGACTGCTAATCAAACAGTTGCTGTCGTTCTCAAACATTTTGTCAGCAAAATGAGTCATTATTCTTCCACAATCATAGCAACTCACAATAATGCCAGCTGCATTCGTTCCGCCAGCTCCCCAAATTATTTTGTAAAATCTTGATGGTTATTTTAATTATCATACTAAATTTCTCAACACTACGAATATTTTAGGTGCACATGAATAAAAAAAAGGACAAAACCTTCGACCACTTGCACACTGATCGTGATGTACATATCATACAGCCTGGCTGCTCCAGGTTGAGAGAATACAAATTTAAACTGGCATTACAATACTAAAACTGATATCCAACTGCTGAGCAACTGTTACTGCAGCCAGCAAAATTGAAAAGTTGGTAGGCTGCTGGACTGGAGGTGACCAGGTCACATCTACAGCTTCATGAAATTTCTTAACCGTTATAATGTACTTCATTTGAATAATTTTAAATAAAGACCATCTACCA